AGAGACTTCTACTTGTACATATAACTAACTGTTCTCTTATGTACTATCTAAAGCATGGAGACAGGGATGCCTACTCGTAACTTTTGCTTTCTCTTTTAGATATCAACAATAAAATTAAAAAGAACCTATTTAAGACTGCTCCTCTCAACTCTGGAAAGTTAATTTTTTAGTTCGACATAGATGGCGGATCATACCATCTACAATATCTGCTAGTAAAATCTATAAATGAATAGTCGGTAAAGACAGTTTTGCAGGCTTTTCTTGAAGTTTGTTTATAGAAGGTGATTGCATTTCGTTTTCTAATAACTTTTCAGACAGCGGCCCCAAACCGCCAGATGCTTAGTTGAAACGTTTTCAATGTAGGTTGTAGTTACGTTAAATGTTCATGTCTATGAGGCTATGTGTCACTAGCCAGATGCACTTGCAACTATGGTTGTAAGTATCGGACCTAAAAGTAGTGAATTCGAATAAAACCAAAAATATTCTGCCTTCACGAACATTTTCATCAGAGTTAATCGGAATCCAACTTCAAAGCACTCAAAAGACAGCTCTCACAGACATGAAGATTTAACGTGACTACAATCTACATTGAAAAAGCTTCAACTAAGCGTCTGAGCGGTTTGGGGCCGCTATCTTATGTGAAAAGTTTTTAAATTACACAATAACAAAACAGTATTTAATACCCAAAAAACGCTGCCAAGCTTCGTTCAGTTTTCGGTTAATATATGTTGAGCTTTTCGAGGGGCATCGAATGATGTATGAATGATTAGAGATCCTCTCCAATTTCATAGAAAAAAGTGAACTAGAGTTCCATTGGCATAGCCACCACCTATGGGAAAGAAAGTCTAGTGTTAAACTCATAAAGCCTGCTGCCAAACTTCGTTCAGTTTTCGATTACGCATATTGTAGAGCTTTTCAAGGTGCATCGAATGATGTATTGCACTAGGCTTAATATTGGATGGTTACTGAAAACTCTTGATTTTACAGTCATACTGTTTTTATTTATCGTATATCTCATATATCAACGTTATATCGTTCTTTTCAGTTCTCTTCTTCTATTTTAGGAAAAAAATCTCTGGTTCACTCTCTATCGTTTCTTACTTTTCTTTTTTCGTTTCTGTGAATAAATCTATCAAATACAGAAAGCGATTAAAGCGATGAACAATGTGACGACATCCCTAAAATAACTGTTTAGTGAAAACTTAAACTTAATTTTAAGTTGAAGTTTTCATTTAACAGTTAGAATTTAATTTAAGTATAGTGTAGCACCCCTAAGCTACACGAATCACACTTATAATACTGCAGATTAAGCAGCTCTCTAAATTGGTTCAAGATTACAGGCTTAAACCAAAAACAAAACACAAAAGCACAATAAAAAATATACATTGAAGGATAACATCGAGTCATTGCACAACTTCTATCTTTGTGCAGAACATCGGAAAGAACAGCGAGGTTGATTATTGCAGTTCGTCTGCAAGGACCAAGTTCGTGTGTTCGATCCTAGCTTCGTGCAAGGATTGATTTTGTGTTTTGATAAGTTTAAGTTCAGAATGATATAATGGGAATTTATATTCTCGATTTCGTTCTGGTTCAAGATTACAGGTTTTAACCAATTCTCTAAATGTATCATAATATCAAATTTATTTGATAGATGGGATGCACAAGCAACGCCACCTACCGGCTTCTGAGTAGTCATTAGAGATCTGCACGGGCAAGATTCTTTTGCCCGTGCCCGTAACCTTACTGAGGATGCTTGTCCGTGCCTGTCCGTGAATGTTTTCGCTGCCCGTGCTCATCCGTGAATATTTTTCGTATAGTGAATAGTCCGTATATGAAAAAATTTTTCTCGTCCACGCGTGTTTATTATGTTGTCCTTTCTGTAGCATGTCTCTAACTGTCTATATTTCATTCAAAAAAAATTCAAATCTTCGTATCATTTTGTTGATCAAAAAATTTAAAATATCTTTTTGAGAAACCTGTGCCCGTCGAAGGGAAGCAGTTTCCCGTCCGTGTGTCCTTCAGGTCTGTTCGTGCCCGTCGAAGGGAAGCAGTTTCCCGTCCGTGTGTCCTTCAGGTCTGTTCGTGCCCGTCCGAGGCTTTTTCGATCTTGCCCGTGTCCGTCCATGCTCGCGGGCTGTACAGGCACGGGCGCGGCCACGGGAATTCCCGTACCCTTGCAGATCTACAGTAGTTATTGTCGACCTGCAGTAAAACGTGGACTGCGTTCTCTTTCTTTTCGATTGATGAAAGTTGACGTGTTTTGCAGCTGACTCCCCTTCACTTGGGCGAGTTTGTTTTGTCAAGAGAACGCAAGGTCAAAAAAGAGTTGTCCGTTCTGTCCTCTTTCAGACACTAAAAATGGCATGCGCCATCTCAACACTATCGAATGCCTTATACGAGGCTTGTTGCAAGGGCGATATGAAAACCGTTCGCGAAACCATTAAACCTTTCCAGATCGATACAATCGGACCCGAAGGCAACACAGCTCTTCACGCTGCATCCATCCATGGTCATGCTGAAATAGTTCGCTTTTTACTGCGGTACCATGCTTCGAAAGATATTCGAAATGGTAATGGACTCACTGCTGAAGAAGTAGCGACGGATAAAGAGACCATAGCAGTGTTCAAAATCCTTGTGCGTCCCTCCTCAGATTCTGAACATTTCTCGGGTTCGACACTTGAAATCGAATGGCTTGATTCCTATAAAAACGCCTACAGAATCTCCTATGAAAATCATGAGTATATGAGACGATGGCTCACCAAAGTCCCACTACGAAAGCTACTCGACGCAGTTGACAATGGTTACATTGGTAAAATGAAGTATCCAAGTGAAGAACTACAAAAAAACATTCAAGAAATTATGGATGTCGTAAAAGAGGATGGAAATCCTCTAGGATTATTGCAAGTATACACTCACCCTGGAATCAGTATTTTTTCGCGTATAAATCAGGACTTAGCAGAAGTTGGCTCGGACTTCCGTTTTGTCAGTACTCAAGCTCTGATCAATTCAGGAGATTTGGACAATGAAGCACCAAAAGGTCTTGGTCAATATATTTTTGCGTCGATTCTCATCAATCATCGTTCCTTCCGTCGGTACTATCATAAGGGTGACACATATCGTGGTGTGAATATGACAGAGAACGACCTTGAACAATATAAAATTGGAAATATTATCATTACTCGCTCGTTTCTTTCTACTTCAAAAAATCGAGATATTTCCGAACGTTTTCTTGCGTACACGAATCCAAAGAATCTTCAAGTAGTTATGTGTATCTGCAAAGTGCTCAACCTTCGATCAAGCCTATACATTCGAGAAATGAGTCAAATTCCAGACGAAGAAGAAGTATTAATCGTTCCATTCACGGTCTTTGAAGTGAAAGACAAACGAGAAGTTGAACTTGTCAGGGAAGGTATAAATTGTCGTATCACGGAGATCGACCTTGAAGAATGTCAATCAAATTTAGTGTGAAATTTGCTTTATTTTGTTTAAAAATTTGAAAATAAATTCTCGTCAACAAATAAGTAGATTGTACTCACTGGTTGAAATGGATTATGTTTCAAAGTTTTTTTGATAAACTAGGTGGGTAGGCAACGCTAGCTAACAGCTTCGGAGTAACTATTCATTACTGAGATATCGTAAAACGTGGAGTGCATTCTGCTTTCAAACGACGCAAGTTGACGCGATTTGCAGCTGGCTTGTCTTGACGTGTGTGAATTATTTTGTCATCAGAACGAAACACCAAGAAAGAGGCACTCGATCTGTTTCAAAGACTAGAGATTGCGGGCGACGTGGCATCGCAGCTGACGAGGAATGATCCCCAACTGATAAATCGCTTTAGACATGAAAGGTGGTGGACCACAGGTAATCGATGGTCCTGAATCTGAATCTCACCATGGTTTGTGCCGCTAGGCCTTGCAAGTATTGGTTTTCCAGAAAACTAGGTTTTTGGCGCCTTTGGTCCCCCAAAGGATTTTAGGAAAACTTTTTTTCTCACATTTCTGTAATAATACATGGACTAGATGTAGAATTTTATGCTGATTGCGAATATCGCCTTTAAAATAAAAAA